CTGAAGAAAGGGAATGCACGGTCAAAAATGGGCCTCAGCTTTTTCATTCTCTCCCCCTCCTTCCCTCCCTCCCTCCCTCTCTCTCTCTCTCTCTCTCTCTCTCTCTCTCTCTCTCTCTCTCTCTCTCTCTCTCTCTCTCTCTCTCTCTCTCTCTCTCTCTCTCCCTCCTTCCTTCCCTCCCCCCTCCTTCCCTTCCCTCCCTCTCTCCCTCTCCTTTAAACAAAATATTAGAAACGGAAGCAATTCTTCTGCTCTACATCATGTTACGACTCAACACGTTCCCAATCACTGAACCATAAAATTCTCCATTAACGGAAACAAGCGGAACTATCGATGAAATGTAACACGTCGAGCGAGTAGTTAAGGTATGACAAAACCTCCCTTAATGTTTTTGTTGATGTTACTATTTACTGTCTATCTGCTGATATGTTTCTATCCATTTCCATGTATAGCTATATATCTGTCTGTATCTGTTTATCTATATATCTATTTGTCTATCTATCTATCTATCTTTAACCGTCTCCCTGTCTATTTATCTACATGCCTATCTTTGTATCTATCAGCTTGTCTATTTATCTCTACATATTTCTGTCTGTTCATCTCTCTATATTTATTTACGTCCATTTACCTGTCCATCAGCAATTATCTATACATTTATCCACACATTTCTAAATATCTATTTTATCTATCAATATCTACGTACACGTGGCTTTATTCGGTTCATCTGTTCTGTCTATCTGTATTTGTCTAATCTAACTGGATCGTAACTGAATTCTTTATCTGCATTTCAGTCCAGAAGCTCGACTGAAATGGCCAACGCTCAGGCCGCTTCTGGGACTTCAAGATAAGTTCACTTCACTGACCTTACTCACTGAAGTGTTAATCCTTTCTCTGTGCAATTCCTTCTCTCCTTCTCTCTTTCCCTTCCCCATCTTCTCTTTCCATTTCCCCCTCTTCTTTCTCCAATTCCCCTTCTCTCTCCCTTCCCCCTTCTTCTCTCTCTCTTCCCCCCTTCCCTTTCTCTCTCCCTTCCCCCCTCTTCTCTCTCCTTCACCCCCTCTTCTCTTCTCTCTTCCTCCCCCTTCTTCTCACTTCCGTCCTCCTTCTCTTTCTATTCCCTCCTCTTCCCTCTCCCTTCCCCGTTCTTCTCTCTTACTCCTCCACCTCTTCTCTCTCCCTTTCTACTCTTCTCTATCCCCTTCCCCTCTTCTCTCTCCTTTCTTCTAGACCTCCACTTCCCCCTTGCTTCTCTTCTCCTCTCTCCTCCTCCCTTTCGCCTTTGTCTCCTCTCGTTCTTCCCCACCCCTTCTCCCTCTTTTTCCCCATTTATATCTTCTGTCCTTCTTCCTCTTCCTCTTCTCTAATTCACTTTTCCTTCCTTCCTTCCTCCTCCCATCAATGTTGCGAATATTGATGAAGACGATGACATGATAACAACAGTAATCGTGTCAATGATAATGAAGACGTTGATGTGTATAATAGCGACGGTAGCAATGACAGTAGTAATGATAACGAGACTGATAACAATAACAATACCAACAACAGTAATGATAACAAAGATAGTGATGCTGATAATCATGGTAATAGTAATTACGATAATGATAATAGTATTGATAGTTATGATTAAGTGATAATGATAACATTGAGGATAGTGAAGGAGAAAGGAGAGGGAGAGAAAGAGGGAGAAATTGGAGGGAAGGAAAGAGAAGGGAGAAGGGAGAAGGGAAGAAGGTAAGGCAGGAGAGATGAGAGAGATAGTAGATGGAGAGAAGAGAGGGGGAATAAGGGAGAAGAAAGGATGAGATAAAGAAAAGGGAGGGAAAAAAGGAGAGTGGGGAGATATGAAAAGACGAGAGAGAGAAAAGGTGAGAGAGATAGATGTAAAAACACGGAAGAGAGAGAAGAGGGGAAAGGAGAGAGGAGAGAAGATATATGTAAAGTCACGAAAGAGAGAGAAGGGAGAGGAAAATGAAGAGTGAAATTGACATGACAGTTCTATTGGCAAACTAAACTTCATAAAAATTGGAACTGGTGTCGAATAAATCACATTCATAAAACCCTTTTTGAAGTGCTCAAACACTGACAAATGAAATGTATATTCTCTCCATATCTATTTTTTTTTATGCGTGCGTGTGTCATAACATACATTCACGTATTTTATTTCAACCGCATAAAAAATGGAAATCCTGTGTTGTTTAATTATATTTTATCTATTAATTAATTTTTTTTTTTTATCGGATTTTTATGTTTTTCCTTCTGATTTATTATCATGATTAACAAGCGACAACGTGGATTATGCAGGCTTTTTCTTTTTATTGTTACTGTTATCATTATTAACATTATTATCATCATTAGCATCGTTATTCTTCTTATTATTATCATTATTACTATTATTGTTATTATCATCATTGTTGTAATCATCATTATTATCATTATTGTTATCGTCATCATATTTTATATCATTATCATTATTGTCATTATTATTGTTATCATCATTTAAAATTTTTATAATTCTCATTATTGCTTTATCATTACTCTTATCAAATTCACTTGCCAATTGTACCGATAATTCACATCCCTTCCATAAGTTCTTACCTGATTTTTAAATCTTATTATTTTATTTTTTATTCATTTGAAGATCTATGACCTTCAATTCAGTGACATTTGATACCAGTAGATCGCCTACATCTCAGTTTAGTTTTCTTGATGTTTTTTTTATTGTCATTTGTAAGTCTTGGAACAGATTGCCTTCAGAGATTGCAATATCCCCAACTCTTGATAAGTTTAAAAGTTTGACTCTTGATAAGGTCAAAATATCAAGCAATATGTTTTCACTATGAAATAGCTACTTATTTTCTTTATTCTCATTTCTTCTTAGCTGTGTTTTGATTAGCATTGATACCTTTGGTGATATAATTCTCAATTTTGTTATCAGTGGCTCTCTATATGGTAATAATAATGATAATCATAACATATATTTGTGTCTTTGCGTCAGTGCATATCTGTTGATCTATCTACCTGTATCTATATTATTATATTTGTATATGTATCTCTATCTATATGGTTATGCATATAGATACATGTTTACCTCCCCCCCTCCCCCCCCTCACTCTCCAGTTTCTGTCTCCCAGAAAAAAGTGGTTTGAAGGCGGGGGGGGGGGGGTTGTGAGTGAAATTTTGCGAATGAAGTAACAAATTTTTTTAAATTTCGAGACAAAAAATCAGTCAAAAAGCCGTTGTTTAGCCGTCAGTGGTTCATTAGAGCTATTATTAGAGTTGAAAATGATAATAAAAATGATTTTATCCACTGGAGTATTGATAAAGATGATGATAATGAAAATAGGTATGATGATGCTATTAATGATGATAATTATAATGATAGTGATGATGATCGTGGTAATGATAACGATGGTTATAATGATGATGAATAAGATGATGTTGATGATTATAATGATAATTATAATTCAATAATATCATAATATCATAATGTCAATGGTAATGATAGCAATTATAATGATGACATTTATAACAATGATGAGATAATACTACTTCTAATAATAATAATGATATGATAATAATAATGATAATATCATGATAATGAAATAACAATAATCACAACAATGATATTGATAATAATACCTAAGTGAGTTGTAATAAAACACAAACACACACGAACGCTCAAACAAACACACAATCAAACACACAAACAAACAAACACACACACACCAATCCAACCACCCCCTTCCCCCCTCCCCTCCTCCCCTCTCAGCTGACCGTGATCCACAACCCATTTCGTAATGACCTTAATAACATAACGACCTTGTTTGCAGATCCGAACAGACCACTCACCAGCGTGATGGTATTAGATGACAAGAGTGTTCTGGTATTCCCGGTGTTTGCAATCAGTGTTGCCATTCTAGCGATTTCCCCGCTAGATCTACTTTTTTTTCAGTTATGCTCGAGCGGGAGAATTTTGAAAGCTGAGTCTATATCTAGCGATTTTTTGCTTTTAGTGGGATTTTTTTATTCTTATTATTTTCGCGGGATATTTTTCTTTTTCTTTTAGTGGGATTATTTTTCTTTTAGAGGGAAAATGTTTTTTTTCAGCAGCAGAAGGGAGAGCGTTAATTTTTTTTTGTCTAGCGCTTTTTTTTAAAGTCCAGGCTAGCGGTTTTGTGAAAATGTCAATGGCAACACTGAGCGCAAAGGTAGTGTGGTATTCGGTACATGTGGAGAGAAGGAGAGAGAGTTGGAATGATAGTTAGTAGATAGTGAAGCAACTGGTTGACTAGATAAAGAGGTATAAGATAAAGGTAGATGTATGATTGGAGTGATGTACGGAAAGAGAGTGGGATGAGTAAGTTCTTCAATTGGGAGATAGATGGATGGATCGATAGAGATATGATGAATCGATAGATAGATGGACCGATAGAATAGGTAGACAGTTAGGAAGGCAGGTAAAGAGATATAGAGGGATAGGCAGATACACAAATATACATATATATGTATATATATATATTATATATATATATATATATATAATATATATATATATATATATATATATATATATATATATATATATATAGAGAGAGAGAGAGAGAGAGAGAGAGAAAGAGAGAAAGAGACAAAACACCTCTTGCCCAGAAAGTTTTTTATCAGTGTCACAAGGCTGCCTCAAACATCCAGTATTTTTTTCTGTATTTTCTTCTATGAAATTTTGTTACCAGTCTTGTTCATCACACGCACACGCACACACACACACACACAGAAATAGATTTTTTTTTTCTTTTTTTTCACTGGGACTTTCATCGGTGTCCGTGACCCAAGAAAAAGCAATGATAGTTGAGATAATTTGGAACATTTAAGCACCGTTATTCGGAAAAGGTCATTTTTGAGTGACCAAACTAGAATTTTTGAACAGAGGATGAAAACTGAGGTAACGCGGCGTAAAGATAAATAGAATAAATCTTATAACAGGTTTTAAAAAATTGCGATTA